GAAAAGGGGGGGAGGAAGCCACAGTAGTAAATCATCAGCACTCCTCATCACAGATCTACTAATGCATTCCACCTGTATCCTGAATGCCCCAATATGTTCCTGAGACACACACAGGAAGCTTTTGCCATGACTCCAGGTCAAAGGTTGTTCTTTTAAACAGCAGTCATCATCTGTTACACACTTACGGGTGTGACCAACTCAAGTCATCTCCTGAGCACTCTGGACATTTCTGTCTAGGTACAAATAAAGGCCTTCAGATTCAAGGCCTAGCCCGGAGGATCAAGCCAAAGTGACACAAGGAAGTAAGAATTATTGGTGCACTGGGCTGGGGTTGTGGCTCAGTGGTAGAGTGCTTGCCTTGTACATGTGAGGCACTGGGTTCGATCCTCAGCACCACATAAGAAAATGAATAAATAAAGATATTGTGTCCATCTACAACTAAAAAAAATTCTTTAGAAAAAAAAAAGAATTATTGGTGCACATACCAAGACAAAATGTGTGCGAGTATGGACAACATAAATTTTAACAGACTTTTCACATGCTTGTGGTGGCAAAAACAGTTTTACAGGGGTCAAAATCATACTGTGTGAGGAAATTACTCCTCCCCTCAAAAGACAAAAAAAAATTTTCAACTGCAGCTGAAGATTCCTAAAATGCCTTGAGTGCTTTAATATGCAGATAGCTCAAGGGTCTGGCAGCCAGAATAATAGTCACTCTTGTTTATTCAGAATGGCAAAAAAGTCCTTATGAATTTTAGGTAAGGTAACAATTTTCAGAGAAAACCAAGCTATAGCCAAATAAAGTACAGCTTCTGCAATACACAAGAGCAGTATAAATAAACCGAACCTGTCTCCTCTTTGATAGGTACTACATATGAGCCTTAGGAATCCAAATACTTTTCTTTTTTGGTACCAGGGATTGAGCCCAGGGGCGCTTTACCACTGATCTACATCCCTAGTCCCTACCCAAACCCTCCCCTTTTTCCCCAGACAGGGCCTCACCAAATTGGTGAGGCAGCCTTTGAACTTGTGATACTCCTGCCTCAGCCTGTAATTGCTGAGATTACAGGCATGCCACCATGAACCCTTGGTTCTACCACTTAAAATAATGGGATTGCTCAAAGGGAAAAACTAATCCAGGCCTCTTAGTTGTAGGTATTACAACACATAGTAATCCCATATTCATATAGTCTTCACTGTATGAAACAATGCTGTGCACCCAGAACTCCTAAATCCTTTTAATATTTACCAAAACTCAATTTTCCAAACCTTAAAAAATTTTTGAAATTTATTTCTTAAGTAGAATACTAACATGAAAGGAGCTAAATATTAAGTTTGACAAATACCTCATCAGTAATATAATAAAAACATGAAGCCAGGCACTGTGATGCCAACCTGTAATCCCAACTACTGGGGAGGCTGGAGCAAGTGGATCCCAAGTTTGAAGCCAGCCTCAGTAACTTAGCAAGAACCTGTTTTAAAATAAAAAAATAAAAGAGTTGGAGATGTAGGCTCAATGGATATGAGCCCCTGGATTCAATCTCCTATACAATAAAGTATGTGCAGTGGCATACATCTATACTCCCAAGGATTTCTGGGAGGCTGAAGCAGGAGAATCACAAGATCCTGGCCAACCTCAGCTATTTAGGGAAACCTTATTTCAAAAAAGGCTGGGAATTGTAGCTCAGTAATAAAGCACCCCAGGATTCAATCCCCAGTACCAAAAACAAAGCAAATGTCCAATCTTACTGGCTGACCTACCCAGTGTCACTCTCTCCAGGTAGCTTGACCCTTGTCTTTCCATTCCTACATCATCATTTTATTACCTTCGTTTGACCAGTTTCACTTTTCTTCTCAATCTCAGTTTAGGGTCAAGTTCCCTCTGAAATCAGCATTGGTTCAATTTTGCCACTGATCCATCCTACTCACTAAGGGGCTTGCAGCTACCAGCCCTTTACCACTAGATGGTGTCCTGGAAGAATTCACACCAAATTTTCAACACAGAATCATTTCCAGTGAAGTAGGAGACTTAAACCAAAAAAAAGTTTGGTTTAGCTTGTTTTTATTACCAGGGATTGACCCAAACTCACTTAACCACTGAGTCACATCCTCAGCCCTTTATTTTGAGACAGGGTCTCACCAAGTTGCATAGGGCCTTAAACTGCTGAGGCTGGCATTGAACTTGTGATCCTCCTGCCTCAGCCTCCCAGCTGGAATTAAATGCAGGTACCACCACACCCAACTCTCTAAAAAAGTTCTTTTTTAAAATCATGTCAAAACATCAAATATGAAAGCTGACTATGTTCACTTACTCCTTATTGACAGACATCAGAAATGGCTTAAAAGTTTCTTCATCTGTAAACACTAAACATAGAAGGTAACCTTATCAGATTAACAGTAAAGTGGAAAGTGGTACATGTGTCATACCAGTTAGACTCCAGTTAGAAGTGTTTTAAAGTGCCTTCTTTAAAACTGTGAAAGATAGGGGCTGGGGTTGTAGCTCAGCGGTAGAGTGCTTGCCTAGCACATGCGAGGCCCTGGGTTGGATCCTCAGCACCACATAAAAATAAAGGTATTGTGTCCGACTAAAAAGAAAAAAAAAATTTTTTTTTAAATGTGAAAGATAAACCAGGAGTGGTGGTTCATGCCTATAATCCAAGGAGTTGAGAGGCTGAGGCAGGAGGATCTAAGTTCAAAGTCAGCCTGTGCAACTTAGTGAGACCCTGTCTCAAATAAAAAGAACTTAATGGGGCTGTGACTCAGCCACAGTGCACCTGCCTGTCATGTGTGAGGCACTGGGTTTGATTCTCAGCACCACATATAAATCTAGGGGAAAAAAAAAAAAAGCAGAGGCCAAAAAAAGTCTCCTAGAACTGCAATCTCAGCAACCAACCCTGGGAAGCTGAGGCAGGAGAATCCCAAATTTAAGGCCAGCCTCAGCAACTTATCAAGGCCTAAGCAACTTAGTGTAACCCTGGCTCAAAAAATGAAAAAGGCTGGGGATGCAGCTCAGTAGTTAGTGGAGCACTTGCCTGGCATTCATGAGGCCCTGGGTTTGATCCCCAAAACCACAAAAAGTTGTTGGTGGTTGTTATGGGTACAATTGCCTATGTGCTTGAAACTGTCCCAAAACAAGAGCACAAGAGAAAATGATTATACCCTTGGTTCTACCACTTAAAATAATGGGATTGCTCAAAAGGAAAAACTAATCCAGGCCTCTTAGTTGTAGGTATTACAACACATAGTAATCCCATATTCATATAGTCTTCACTGTATGAAACAATGCTCTGCACCCAGAACTCCAGTTAAGTCCATCCTGCAGCCAGCATACCTCTTGAATCTGGACACTTCGTTATCTATTACAAAATAAGTCTGGAAACTGATGTTTCAACGAGTTCTGAACTCGCCCAAATCTTTTTTTAAATCTTCCACCATACCACAATACCAACTTCAAAAACTCACCTCTCCCCAGCGGCTGGGGAGGCAAAGCTTGCTTAGCAAACTCAGTGATACCCTGTCTCTAAATAAAATACAAAATAGGGTTGAGGATGTAGCCCCTGAGTTCAATCACCACTGCCGCCCCCCCAAAAATTAAAAAACCCACCTCTCAACGCTTTTTTTGTCCCACTTCATGTCATGTCACCCACACCTACAAACTACACCAAAAAAAAGGTAACTCATTCTCCAAATTTTATATTATCATTCATAATGGAAAAAAACGCAGCTCATCAGTGTATATAAACACAAAAGGCAGCCCTAACCCCTCTGGAGCTCCTGGTTCCCTCCCGTGGTGGAAATAAAAACACAAGCTGGAGCAAATGTCCCCGAAAGTACAAGAGACAGGACTAGGGGGAAAGTATACAATTCCTTTTAAACACCACTAATTCATGGCGATACGAAAGATTAGAAAAACGAAATCAACCTCAAGGAACAAGTAGCTATGAAAGTTGAAACATTTAGATTACAGTTTGCCTTTCCTTTTTTCTTGGGGGGCTATGAGGAGACGGTCGCTTAGTCTAACTTTTCTACTAAATCAGTTGCTTTAAAATATTTTACCGCTGGGCTGGGGGTGTGGCTCAGTGGCAGAGCGCTGGTCCAGCAGACGCGAGACCCTGGGTTCCAGGCCCTAGAACCGGAAGTAAAAATAAAGTATTTTAGTAACAAAAATTTAAAGCAAACCCCTGAAGTAAAACGTCGAAAATGCCCAGGGCGCTGCTGGGCCTACTCCGCTGGGCTGCAGCCCGAGGCCTCCCGGGGAGACGCGGTTCTGCGTCCCCAGCCGGTCCCGTCCCAGGCCACACCGGTGCCAAGCAGCCCGCCGCAAGCTCACTCCCCGGACATCCGGAGGCCGCCGGCCGCGCTTCCCGGCCGACGCGGACGCGCAGGAGCGCAAACTTAGTTACATAAACTTAGTTACATAAACTCCAGCGGTCCCAGGAGCGGCCGGCGCCGGGCCGGCTCCCCACCGCCCGGAGCTGTGGAAACCGCCTTGCGCTCCGGCCGGCTGCCCGCCGAGCCTGCCTGCGCGGGGTGCAGGCCGCGGACTCCGGGCCCCGAGCTCCGCCGACCCCGGCGCCCCGCGCGGACGGCCCAGCTCAACCAACTCTCCGCGGCAGCGTGCGGCACTGGCCCGAACCAAGCGCAACCCGAGCCCCGGAACCGGACTCGGACCTCCGCCTAGACCCTCACGGGACCCTCACCCGGTCAAAGCCCGGCCCCAGCCCCGCGCCCGGTTCAAACCCACGACCCGGTGCAGAGCCGGAAGCTCAGGCCGCGGCTCTGAACCCAGCCGCACCCCAAACCCGACCCGACCCAGACCCCGACCCCGGCCAAAAGCAAGGCCGAGACCCAGGCGCCGGCCCCAGCCCGGGGCCCGAAACGGCTCCGACCCCAAACCAGACCCCGGCCTCGAACCCGGCCCAAACCCTGACCCAGACCCCAGACCCAGCCACGGCCACCACCGAGACCCAGACGCTGGCCCGCCAGCCGGACGCGGCTCACCGAGGACGCGGCGGGCGGGACGGGGCGGACGGACGGGTGCTCACGGTGCGGCACGGCTGCGCTGGTGGCGACGCAGCGGCTCCTCGCGCTTTCCTTTCTCTCCTTTCTCCAACAACAAACAGGAAGTACGTCACGCGGCGGCGGCGCAACGACGTCGACTTCCGCCCGGCCGTGACGCCGCGCACGCGCAGGCGCCCCGCACCGCCCTGCCTTCGCGAAGGTTCCGCAACCGCGCGGGCCGTGCGGCGCTTTGCGGGGGGTCGCCGCGCGTGGTGGGGTCGTTCCTGCCCCTTGTCCGCGGCGCTCTCTTCCTGCCTCGTGCACTTGACGAGTGTCCCGCGCCGGTGCTGGTTAGCCGGCACCCTTGGTTCGCTTCTTAGATCCGTTCGCCTGGAACTGACGAAGCCGACCCGAGGGCCCCGGCTGGAAATGCATGGGGAAGCCGGGCCGCGTGCGTCTGTGACCCCAGCCCCGCTGGGCTGGGACGTGGGGCTGCAGGCCCGCCCGGGCGACTGGCCGGGAGCTTGTCGCGCAACGCAGCACGGCCTCGCGGGAGACCCCGGAGGCAGAGGGGTGCAAGTGCGAGGCCAGCTTCAGCTACTTCGGGAGACCCTGTCTGAAAAAAGAAAGAGGGCTGGGGGTGAGGCTCAGTGACAGTGCCCCGGGGTGTACCCTCTGGCACACTCAAGCGCACGGAGGGGGCTGGGAATGTGGCTGGGGTAGAGCGCTCGGGTTCCAACCCCCAGTGCTGGGGCCGGAATTTCCCGGGCCGGTTTCCCACGCATGACAGTGAAGTTCCTCTGCCTTAATCCTTGCACCAAAAGGTAGACCAAACCCAGTAGGTATTTTTCTATTGTTCTGTGGGCCAGCCTGGATTTAGGACGAAATTAATATTGAAATGCCCTATCCCCATGGCTTTTTTTTTTTTTTTCCTTGAGAAAGGAGATACAGCTCTGTGGTGGACTGCTTGCCTGGAATGCAGAAGGGTCTTGGTGCCATCCCCAGCACCTACAAAAAGAGACAGGTCTCTCTGAATTGCTGAGGATTTCTCTAGATTGCAGAGGCCGACCTCAAACTTGGGATCCCCCTGTCTGCCAATGGTTTGTTCTTCAGACTTTCTCTGGGTTTCCAGACATGGTGGCGCATGCCCATGATCCCAGCAACTCTGAAGCTGAGGCCTCTAAATAAAATAGAAAATAGGGCTGGGGATGTGCCTCAGTGGTCGAGTGCCCCTGAGTTCAATCTCCAGTAACCCACCCACCTCCAAAATAAAAATCAACAAACCAGCCTTCCAAGACAGGGGAGGATGTGGTCCAGCTCTTCAAGAGCAAAGTATGGTAGAAGGCTCTGCCCCTTCTCTTCAACAGTGAGTGTTAATAGCAGCAGGCTGGGAATGTAGTTAGTATACTGCTGTTGCTTTAATTTTTTCCTGTATTAAAAAAGTTTTTAAAAAGCTGTGTGTGATGATGCACACCTATAATCCCAGGGGCTTAGGAGGCTGAGGCAGGAGGATCACGAGTTCAAAGCCAGCCTCAGCAAAAGTGAGGTACTAAACAACTCAGTGAGACACCGTCTCTAAATAAAATACAAAATAGGGCTGGGGATGTGGTTCAGTGGTGGAGTGCTCCTGAGTTCAATCCCTGGTAACCACCCCCCTAACACAAAAAAAGTTAAAAACAAAAACAAAACCCCAGAAAAATGCAAACGGACCACACCAAGGAAGTGAGAATCACGGACACCACAGTGCTCTACCAGCAGACCAGCATGGAGAGGGAGGGTGAGGACTCATCTTTGGGCCACAGTGCTGGGTAGAGCCTCCTGCACGCAGGGGCACCCACGAACGCGGCCAGCACAGCTCCATCTACTCCAGTGCTAAGGTGATCACAGCTATAAATGACACTTCAAGAGGAGTTTATAAATCTGATAAATGCATAAACTGTTTTAGCAGTGTCAATTCAGGGCTTAGAAACTGACCTCAATTCTTCTAGTGACAAAGAAAGATGACTCTATCCACTTAAAATTCTATGTTCTGTGACCAGTCTCCAGAGCCTCTCACACAAATTAGTTCGGGAGGACCATCACCAGCTGAAAAATGAAAATGGTTGGTGCGCAAGGGTCAGGCCTCATCTGCAGTTCTGTCAAAGTCAGGGGCAGGCCGCAAGTCGCTGGCCAAGCGTGCTCACCTTGTTACTTGGTTCTACCTTGGACACTCCAATTTGGATTGGGCTCTATAATACCTAAAAAGTGCTGGTAAAATTTACATTTTGGTTTTCAGAGGGCAAATGTGGAAGAGCAGCTGACTCTACCAACTGCCAGCTGTGCGCCGCTATCCAGGGGGATGAGTGTTCTTCTATACAGAATCACTGTAGGAAGCGCATGGGCAGAGGCAGAGCCTGGAACACTGCCTAGAACGAGGACCCACTCTGGGGCAAGTGCTGCTGAGTACTTCATAATAAAGGTCATTTTTTGTTTTTTTTGTTTTTTTTAGAAAACCTAATAGCTTGATTATGGATTATGCCTTGATTTTTATCATTTTTAAGGAATGGCTTAACAGCAGGAAGTATAAAATGATTTGGGGTGGGATTTTCCATCAAAAAAACGAGGAATCCTTTAAATCCTATTTTAATCCTATTCTTAGCCCAAGAGGTCTTGGTGATAATGATTTCAATTCTAAAGCAACTGGATGCCCAAAACGGTGAACTTTCAGGACTGGGGGTATAGCTAGTGGTAGAGTGCTAGCCCACCATGCACAGGCCCTGCATTTGGTACCAGCACCAAACAAAACCAAAAAACCAGTGATCCTTTCACTAATTCTTAAAATCTTCAATGATTAACGAAGTGGCAGTAAGTCACTGCAACAAAATTTTAATTAAATGCTTGAACAAAACAAAATAGGGCCAGCGTAGAAAATAACTACTATAGCATTATTAAATACAGAGATTTCTATGTCCTGAAAGACAAGCCTGTCATAGGAAATTATGACACTCTCCAGAGGTGCTGTAAAACAACGGAATCATCTGGCACAAGCACGGAGTCTGGTCTCCCACGTGAGGGAAAGCGTTTCCAGCAAAGATCCCAGAGTTTAATTAAAACCTAAAAGGAAAATACATATGCCACCATAACGCTCTTATTCAGATAAAGCTCCCACAACAATTATAAGTCCTGAATAGGTGAGAGCGTATTTTTAACTTGGAAAAATCACATAACCGTCAATCTTTTAAGAAAGGATTTATTAAGGGCTCAACATGTGAACTTCAACATCTACTTAGAGACAGAGATAAGTAATTAAAATAAAGTGTGCAAACATGCATCACACCCATCTGTTCAAATTATGAATTCAATGATGCATTAGCCCTGTATTCACGCAATCAAAACATTATCAGTTACTTTCACTGCTGCTAATGCTCATGCTCCTAAGTGAAATGTGTTGTAAAATCAGGCAGAATGGGCTGCAGAGAGACTCTTGGACTTGTAGGATGAATAAGCATTCCTTAATTAGCCCATCAGGTTAAGTGCAAGCATTAATGTGCCTTTCCTAAAGTCTAGCTTGACATATTCCTCCAAACATGGCCAAGAAGAAAGTTCCATTAGCAGTATTAATACAAGCTTAGTTGATCATTTTCATTCAATTAACTTCTTTCAATTAAATAGATAGCTTGACAAAAGCAGTGATAAAAGACCTGAAGGGACAGTCGATGGCTCTGCCTGAGCGCTGCCGGGCGCGGGGTCGCTGGTGGGAGAGGAGCTGTAAATCCAGCACTCAATTTGGGAAGTGCACCACGTCTGCCCGCCCTCCGTTAATGAGCAGTTTCAGCTGACCTTTGCTGCTGACGTTTGCTGCTGATGAGGCAGCACCCTCCCTCTCCGCCCCACAGCAGTGACACTCCCAGTGGTGTTGGTTCCCAGCCAGCACCCAGCAAAGGAACATCCCCCCACTTTCTGCGTGTGAGAACGACACATCTTAGCATAATTCATATGCGCCTAGCATTAAAAATGAGTGACCAATCCTACCTTTGTTACTCTGCCTTTAAAAAGATGAAAAACTGTAAAAGCTGTTTGAGATCTATTAGTGAAAAATAAAAAGGAAAACATTTATCCAGGCAAAGTGGCACACACCTATCATCCCAGAGATTTGGGAGGCATGAGGCAGAGAATCCTAAGTTTGAGGCCAGCCTCAGCAACTCAGCAAGGCCCTAAGCAACTCAGCAAGGCCCTGCCTCTACATAAAACAGCTGGGGGACATGGCTCCGTGGTTAAGTGTCCCTGGGTTTGATCCTTGGTACAAAAAAGAGAAAACTTTAATCATTTATACCTTATCAAAGAAAGTCCTTTGACAATTTACAAGATGCATGTGACAATATCAAAAACAAGGTATTAAAATGAGGCAAATGCAAAAATAAAGGTAACTTTTCTTAAAAAGTTTTGTAAATTAAAAAACATGCTTGAAACAAACCTGTATTTCTATTATTCTGAAATCAATCAGGCCAAAACCAAATCTAGGCTTATTTAGCCCCAGGAAACGACACCTGCCCGTACATGGAATACCTTAAACAACTGAATCCAACGCTTCTGCTCCATCTGTATACATTGCTGCATCTCAGCGCTGGTGGTGACGCCTATGCTCTGAAAGGCGGTGACGTACTCCTCCCGCACCTCGGGCTTTGTTTCCGGGTAGGCCAGCTTGATGATGCCCAGGCAAGCGTCGCGCAGGCAGCGGGACAGGGCGACCAGCTCCTCCAGCGTGAAGGGCATCATGGACGACCGCCTCTGCCCTACAACTGCAAACACCCCCGTTTCCAATCAGCCCCCTTTCCCCTCTCTCAACATGGCATGCACACTGCGAAGGCTTGGAAGCTGCCCACTCTCTGTGAAGACCGACAGCCTCTGGGCAGCAGCCAAGGAGCTCCTCAGAACGCTCACCTTCTATGGGGTCGCCAAAGAACTCATTATCGTGGGTGGAAATCAGTGAGTGGCTGAAGAGGGAGCTGAAGAGGTAAAAGAGCGGGATGATGCGGCCCGAGTCCTCGAAGGACATGGGAGAGCCCCTGGATATCACCTGGAACAGCGGCACCATCGATCTTGGGGTGGAGACAGGGAGGAAAAGAGCTATCCAGTTATTTCAAAATCAGGTTTAGTTTGGGGTCTAATTAGGAAATGATATTAGACAAATGAAAACTACAGTGACATTAACAATAAAATGACTTGAAGGCAAGGCAGAGTCACTGGGGCAACACAGGCCAGTCAGGGGTACAGACCTGGCTTCCCCCCAGGACTGCTCTTCCTGCCAGTGGGCACTCAGCCCAAGGCCGAGGCCCTGGAGAGGGCGCTGGGAGGGCGATGCGGACTTCCCTCCTACGAGGAACACCACGGCCTCCTCTCCACCTGGCAGTCAGCAGAGGTCCCAGAGACTCACGGAGCTCCCGACTACCGGAACTTTCCAAACAGCTCCACACGCAGTTTCTGCTTTCGGCTGGCTCATTTCAGTGCCCCGTGCACTGGCCAGCCCCACTCCTCTCCTGCTGGCCCCCTCTGAGCCAAGCAAGCACTGAGGTGGCACAGTGGTGGGGCAGCCTTTAGGGAAGGCAGGGTCTCTACCACTCTGAAGAGCTCTGACCTGTTCAGTGAGTCCACATCTTTCAGCGGGAGTCTGCTCCCTGCCCCTCTGCAAGTCCAGTTCTTCAACTGGTGGGCATTTAGTAACAGTTCCATGTCTCCTCGCAGTCCCATTCGCCTGGCTTAGCAAACCTACATGGCACCACCCTCACGCCTCCCTGACATGGCGAGATCCGCCAGGACCAGGTCCACAGGGCCAGCTGCCATTCTGCACGCCCGAACACGGCAGACATACCAGGCCAGGCACTGACGCTGGGCAGGATAATCAGTCAATCCGTGAGTTAAGGAAGGAAAGCCATCCATCCAAAATAAAACGCGGTGGGGACAGAGAACGGCAATCGTACCTTACAGTCAAAGGGAAGGCAGAAGGCTGACTTAACTGTACAACCCTGGCTTTGTCCCCAGCCCGGCCCTCACACCTCCAGAAGGACTCCCCACCATGCCTTGTGCAGCACTACCCACACAGTGGCGTTCAGCAAAAAATTTGCTGACAAGCAGAAGAATTTAATGTCCTACGTTTAGGTGGTATTTGTAAAAATAATGGTCAGTACCTTTTAGTTCCCTGGCCACTTAATGAAAAACCACAAAAATAACTGATACTACTTAGGAGAACATGCTATTTAGGGGAGTACAGCAGCCAGGCGGGCAGTTTCCTGAGTCTAAGCAGTGCTGGGCCCACTTCACTCAGTCCTGCTCAGAGTCCTGTGTGCACGGCTCAAGAACCATGCTCTAGGGACACCATGTGGATCATGTGAACCCCTGGGGATCAACCAGCACTCCCTTGTTCTCTTTAGCCCATGAGGACGCAAGAGGAATGGGTCCTTCTGACTGGAGCAACAGAAAACAGGACTGGTAAAGAGGGCCCGTGTGCGCTGGGGACCTGCAGCTGGGGAACAATGAAACAACAGTGTTTGGGTCCTCTGCTGACCATGCTTCCTGCTGTAAACACAGACTCAAATCTCTCTGACACAGGGTCCATCTCAGAAGACTTATGAGCAGATTAAAAGTCCATGATTTATAGAAATGGAAAAGACACTGATTCATAACTTGGGGAAGTTGGTTGAATTACTGCCCCCTGTTTCTACCCTCAGAATGAAGGTTTGCACACTATCTGTGGGGACCCAGCAGCACCTTAAATAGTTTCCTGCCTTCTACATAAGCTGCCTACCAAGTGGACATGCGCCTAGAATCTTGAGCACTACTCAAGATAGCTGGCCTATCTGCACATGCTGAGCACATGGGGCAGAGCACCTAGGTGTTAGGCTCCGGTAGAGGGATGCCCACCAGAAAAGGGCAGCCAGCTGGCTGTGAGTTCCTGAAACCTGACAAGGAGGACACCCGGGGTCCAACTCCAACAGCAAGTATTTAAGGTGAAGTATGCGAATAAAAATATCACTTGCAAAAATGTCTGATGCGCTGAAATGGTTGCTCACTGGGACAAGTAGCTAGACACACTGGCTGTTCCTAGCTAGCCCAGCTGCAGGGCAGAAGGATCTCAGGCCCAAGTCTCAGAGCTCTCAACACATTCCCTCAGGACTCTGCTGTGCAAGTCTGGTTGCAAAACTATTTTCAAATTAAATTCAGTGCCACTCTTAAAAACATTGTGTACTTCAGCCAGGTGCGGTGGCGCATGCCTGTAATCCCAAGGACCCAGGAGGCAGAGGCAGGAGGATCACAAGTGTGGGGCCAGCCTAGCAACTTAGAGACCTCTCTCAAAATAAAAAAATAAGAAGGGCTGGGGATGTGCCTCAGTGACACAGCGACTCTGGGTTCAATCCCCAGTGCCACACATTCAAAAAATTTATGTATTTCATTTAAATTTTTATTCTTGACAGCAAATATGAAACATATGTAATTGGAAGATATCAATATACAGGACAGTTCTTAAGAGGACTTTGTGTGAATAAATTGAATAAAAGAAGTTCTCAACTGCCTTTTTAGAAATATTGTTTTCAAAAACCCATATAACTTTATCACCTTATAAAATATTATTAATTTAATATAATTAACAATATCTCAATTGTCTTTCATACACAAGGACTCCATTTCCTCACCAAGAGACAAATGCCATAAACAAGTCAGGCAGTCCTTGGTGGTGTCTCTGTTGCTAAGCGGGGATACTCACTGGGAAATGATAATTTCCTGTCCTAACAATCCCCAGTCTCCTTCGGCCCTAAGTAAACCGGTCACTCATGAAAACCCAGGCTCTCAGGGCTGACACAGGCAGGAGTGGCTGAAATGTGCCTGGTACCACAGCACAATGGCACATATTCAAAGCCTCCTATTTCAGACAGAAATATTCTAGACATCAGGGTATCCTCTGTGGCTCTCATTTGTCTGTGGGTACTCTCAAGGTTGACTTAAGATAAACCACTCCACCTTCTTGAGTTTTCAGCAGACGCGGGGTCACCACTAAAAACTCCCTACTGCCAGGCACTGTGGTGCACATCTGTGATCTCGGCAACTGGGAGGACTGAGGCAGGAGGATCACACACCCTGTCTCAAAATAAAAAGTAAAAAGGGTGGGGATGTAGTTCAGGGGTAAAGCACCCCTGGGTTCAATCCCAGAGACCAAAAACTAAAGCCAACCAATGAAGAAGAAAAACACAAGAACAAAACAAACCCTCTCTTTTCCTCACAGATGCTTAAGATTAAATAAAGGCAAAGCAGGACAGTGATGCTGTCCACAGTGACGATCCCCTTTGTTAGGAAGCACAGTTCATGCAGATGACCAAATCCCAGTTCCAATCATTCAGGGGCTGACAGGGACTGACTGAAAGGCACACATCTCAGCACAGGGTCTTGCTGCACACCACCCGACATGCTACAGACCAAACTGGACTGCAGAGGAGTGGAGTGCAGAAATCCCAGACCCTCACCCCAACCCACCAACCTCTCGTGTATATGAAAAACCAACTCTTCCTTCCATTCTATCAACTGAGCTACTCTTAATAATGCATAAAAATAACTGTAAAACAAGGCACTAATTTTGGTGTGTGTGAAATTAAGACCATTCAGAATTTTTCCTCTAAAACAAAGCCGAGCACTTCCAAAAGCCCTCCTGCCGCACTGTGTCAGGCATGGGGGCCACAGCAGGAGGCCCACAGGTGAGCAGATGCAGTACATACCCTGTGATCATCCGTGTTGTCATGGAAGAGATGAGGACCCAAAGGTGCCGCAGAAACCTGGCATTGAAGGCCAAACTGTAGAGAAGCCTGAAAAGAAGCGGGAGTGGGGGACAAAGAGAAGCAGTCAAGTCATCGCTCAATGCACTTCCTATAAAGCAAAGCTGTACTTGAAGACAAGGCCCAATTAAGAACACAGCCACAGTGACCTCACAGCGAGCTCCCGTCTGACATGACCCTGGTGCAGAGCCACCGGCGGGGCAGCCTGAGGCACCCACACAGGCTGAGGCTGCTCCCCCAACATGCTGTGACATGGTCTCCTGCTCACAGGGACACTAATGGTATGCACTTAGAATCTCTACCTAATGACCGACTGAAGTCACTGTCCTGAAACAAACACAAAAAAATAAGTTTAACATCTCAAAAATCATTTCTATGTAAAAAGACATTTTAAAACTAAGAAGTTTTGAACAGCATTTCCTCTATCACACCAATTAGAGACTGGAGAACTCTGAAGAATGGGCAGAGCTGGACTCTGAACTGGCTCTGGGCTGAGTGCTGCACTGTGATAGGAGACATGTTCTAGTTATAGCGGCATCATCAGAAAATATCTCCTATGAACTTTTTTTTTTTTTTTTAATGCAAGGGTCAAAAAAAATCTCAACATGTGTAAGATGAATTCACAGTAAGACCCAGGTAGGAAAATATGATTTTTAGGAAGGAATGTTGGCTACGTGTGGCTCGCCTGTAATCCCAGCAACTCAGGAGGCTGAGACAGGAGGATCACAAGTGTGACATCAGCCTCAACAATTTAGTGAGAACCTAAGCAACTTAGCAAGACCCTCTCTCAAAATAACAACTAACAAGGGCTGTGGAGGTGGCTCAGTGGGATTGAACCTCTGGGTTCAATCCCCAGTACAAATAAAATAAAATACTCGTTAGTTTTATTTGACCTTCACGAAAGAATGCAAATTTTAACATGATCAATAGTTGATTAAATCCATTCATTATACTGAAAATACTAACAAAAGCAACCATGAAATCATAGGCAAAGAAATAAATTTATTTCTTTCTCCAGTACATCTTTAAAATCATTATAAATTTTTTTATAAATCACATTATCAATATATAATATTTAATTCTGCATATACAATGAAAGAAATCTATTTTTGTCCATTCAAGTTATTAATAATCATTTTATCCTACATTATTAAAGCATGAAACATGAACTTGTACAACTATGTAAAACAAATTAAAAAAAACAAAAAACAAAAAACCATGAACTTGTAAACCAAGAGCGAAAGACCATTTGCTGTTGCTGCACATCCACTGTGCTGGGCACACACAGCCCCGTGCAGGGCACACAGCTCCAAAGTGTGATTAGCAGCACCGGGTGCTCCTACGCTGGCTCATTCTACTAGTTTTTGTTGGCGGGGGGGGGGGGGGGGAAGAATCAAACATACACAATTGATCTGGGATGCCTTGATATGATGTATTTATATAAGAACTATAGGCAAATTATGGTGCCAACTGTCCTGGCCCCTCAAACAATACCTTTAATACTCGGTTTCAAAGCTTTTAGACCTGTTGCTAGAGCAAACAGTCAGGCCTAGAAGAACATGCCAGCCCATCTCTTCCAGGACAGACCAGGACGAGGGGCAGAGTTATGGTGCAGACACCCGTGGGTGCAGAAGGAGAGGGTAGGAGAAGTGGGACGGGTGATCGAAAACCAAGAGATCAAGCAAGGCTGGGAAAAGCAGCCTGAGCCACAGGTCAAGTCAGAGGTGACTCCAAATATCTGGTATGAAAGGCTCTGCTAAAAATCCACAGTCCAAGGAATAGGAAGTGTTTCTGAAAGCAAAGGGAGTCACCGTGAGGTTTAAGCAAGGTGGCTTTGCTTCCAAAAATCTAGTGTGGCAACACCTGAAGCAGACACATTGTGGAGACAGAAGGCAGGCAGGACACTGCTGGAAGAAAGTCTAAGTCCACTCCCCAGGACAGCGTGGCCCAGGGACTTCCTGAGAGGATGGGCCTGCTCCAGGCATGCTGCAGGGTCCTTGCATGTGCTTAACCCATGTGCAAGGCACTGCGGCTCCAGGACTGGGCACAGACAGCACCATGAATGACGGGGACATTCGCCAGCATAGGACGGATGGAGGGCCTCAGGGAGGTGTGTGGGTGTATGGGAACAGGTCCCTCCCTCTACCTCTCCATGAAGCTGGAGCACCAAGGTGTCAGCAGGCTAAAGAGAACCCGGAGAGTCGACCTAACTCAGGTGAAGCTGTTATGTGAAAGAGATCACCTGGAAAATCAACTGAAAGAAAAAGGCCCAAAAAGTAAAGGAAAAAGAAGCAAAGCTTTCAAAACACTGAGACAGAGAGAGAACCCATGAAGGAGACCACAAAAGAAACCCAGGAGTGAAAGAGAAGGCAGGAGAGGAGCATCTGCGGAGGAAGCGGGTGGAAGGGCCAAGAGAGGAAGGATGAAGAATGTCGCATGTGGGGCTGGGGCTGGGGCTGGGGCTCAGTGCTGGGGCACTTATGAGGCATATGTGAGGCATTAGGTTTGATTCTCAGTACCACATAAAAATAAATAAAAATAAAGGTCTGCCAACAACTAAAAAACATATATATTAAAAAAAAAAAAAAAGAATGTAGAACGCCACGCCAAGCCCGCCCATGAGGCCACTGAGGCCCTGCTCAGCTCAGAGTGGCGCACCTGCCCACTGGCCCACAGAACGTCACAGGAGGCACACGGGCTACAGCCCCCGAGTGGGCACTTTCAGACAGGCTGCCGCAGGTCCCTGCCTGAAAACCCCTGCTGCCATTAGACCTGGGGGAGTTTGGACAGTGCCCTCCTGGACCCATCCCACAAGGGAACCATCTAGGATCTATTCACATTTTTAAGCAGTAATATATTTTTTGCAGTGTGGGGACTGAACCCAGGGCCTCCTGCATGCTTGCCAAGCACTGCCCTCCCAGTACAAGGAAAAAATAACTTTAAATCCAGATTTTCCTCAGACTCACAAGTCCAATAACAAGACATGCAATGTCCTCTCAAATAAAGAAGCTAGGACTGGGGATGTGGCTCAACACAAGCTCCAGGTTCCATCCCCAGCACCTCAAAAAACAAGTGAAAACAGCAGCTAGCAACTTACTCTATTTCACCCAGATTCAAGCAGCACAGAGACAGTAGGGCTGTAAAGACCTCCACACACATGCTCATTAGTGCCCACTCCGTACGTTTCTCTAAACAAATACAATCAGATATTCTTACCCTTTCCCTCTTTTTTACACAAAAAGGAGGTAATTATGAGTACTGATCTCTTAATCTTCCTTTTTCATGCACACATCTGTCTTGGAAATCTTTGCATACCAGTCTAAATGGGACTCTACAATCTTTTACACTAACAATCAATGTAAAACAGAAATTAAAACTGCAAATCCAAGCTCTAAAAAGACGATGAACTGATATTAGCCAGACAGGAGTTGAGGATGAGTTATCAGCTTGGGATATGTCAATCATCTTTTAAATACTTAAAAAAAAAATCAAATCTGAAAGGAGTTAAAATCTACAAAAGTTAAAGCAAGGCTATGTGCTATTTCATGAGCTCTGGAAACACTCTCAATACTGGTTTCCTGGAAGAGATAGGTGCTGTGCCCATGAGGTCCAGTCTGTACAAAAGGGGCTCCACCTACTCAGCACCCTAAGCAGTTCACTGGGGCACTCAGTCCAGGGCAGTGCAGAGTCAACTAGTGGCCACTACCCAAAGCAGCAGGCTCTGTGGCACATGAGAGCAAGGAGGCCCTGGCTTAGGTCACCCCCAGCTCTGCAGCAATTGCCTGTACAGAGCCTAAGGATGACCTGGTCACAGTTCACAGTGCCCTGCCTCTCCCACTGCAGTGGGCAGCAGAGAGTCAGGGAATGCTCACCAGGCCACTCTGATAGCTGGTTCACCTTTCTCTTGGCCCTTGCCAGAGAATGCTGCGCTCTGTGTGTGTGACAGGGTGATATTTTGCAGAGACAGAACTCCATGGGGGGACAGGAATCTGCACAGGTCCCACTGACAGGTGGTGCTTTCTGCAGCCTGCCTGTGCGACATCAGCACAACAGCTGCTTCTGCTCTGCACTACACCCAGCTGTTTCTCAGATATCCAACCAGCCACTGTCACTCCAAGTGGGAAGAAACAGCTTAGGACCACCATTGAGACCATCTAAGTTCAAATGAACCACCTCACAAAAAAGTTGGGCATCTGTTTTAGTCCCAACCAAAAGTTTATCTCAGAGCCTTGTAAAACAAACATTTACCTACTAGAGTAAACTGCCAAGGGCAACCTGATAAACCGGGTGTTATGAAAACAGCCCAAGAAGAAATGTTCACATACTGGCTGTCACAAAGGTCTGCGTCCAACTTTCAAGACAGGTAGCCTGGTCTACACTCTCATTTGCAGGTGTTACAGAATCAGACATGACCTGACCTGCTGAGGCAGCATGTATGGGGCCAGGAAAGATGCCAACAGCATTAGTTGGTTTAAAAAAAAAAAAAATTCCATTTTCTACACAGCTGAACTGATGGGGACCTGCGCCCCGGCCAGGGCATGCTTGGCTCTGCACATGGACCCCAGGGAGACCTGCCTGACTTTGGGCACCATCATGCGGTGCTGCACCATCAGCGTGTGGCAGATGGAGGCCATCCGGGTGAAGACCTCCTCGCTGGCCGAGTCCCTCCACACCAGGTTCAGCAGGGCACTGGTCTGCTGCTTCGTGTCCAGCTTCTTTAGACATTCCTCGGTGATGTATGGGGCAGAGACTCTGCCGTCCTCCTGAAACACACAAGTCCTGCTGAGTGGAGGGCACTGCTAGGACTCGCCTGCCCCCAACATCAACGCTTTCCAGGAGAAAATGGGGAACATTACAGGCAGCCTCTCTAGGTCACTGCTCACGCCAGTTTTATACAGTGGATGACACAAAACGGTCACATTCAGTTTTTGCCTGCCAATATGACCTTCTTCAGTATTTACTTTTTTGGGCAGTGTGGGGCACAGGGTATTAAGCCAGGGTGCTTAACCACTGGCCTCAAAATTGCAATGCTCCTGCCTTAGTCTCTTGAGTCACTGGGATGACAGGCATGTACCACCACACCTGGCTTAGTATTTACATTTTATGAAAAATTCATTTCATACATTGTAGAGTGAGTTGTACCGAGACAGCAAACATGGTATATCCATACTACTTTCTGAGGGCATTTCCATTTTAAATTATCAGAGATTATTTTAAGCAAAATAAGTAAAAGTATCAATTTTTTTTTTTTTTTAAATCAAAGGGCGTTCGTGGTAAATTTAGTCTTCACCATTTTAATGGTTTGCTGAGAGAAGCCCTGGGCTGTGCATGCAGCTCCTATGGGTAAGGCACTCCAAAGGTTCCTCCTCCTGCCCACAGCTGGAAACATCAGCGCTAGCTTGTCTTATCACTTTCAATATTCGGCCAAACTTAACAGCGCCAACTGAACACTGCTTCAGAGTAAAAGCTGAAACTCCACCTGTCAACCTGAGTCTTTAAGGAGCAACATGAATGTCAGACCATACACGTGGGCACCGCTGTTCTGGAGTGTAGAATTTTAAAATCAATTGTACATGTAAGTAAACAGATTACACAGAATCCTAAGGACAAGGAAGTTTATTCAGGGCAAACTGACCACTAAGAACCTCAGACAACCAAATCAGGCCACAGGCGAAAAGGATGTAGCAGACCTGGCTAAAAACAAAAGGAGGACTCTTAGCTCCCACGTGGGCCACTAGTCCTCCATTCCAAGGCGGACAGGAGAGAAGGGACAAGACCAGGCAGGGGAAAAATGAAGAGGATCAGACAGAGCACAAAGCCATGTGATCAACAGGCCCTGAAACCTTACGTATTAAAAAAGAGGAAAAGTAAAGTATAGTAGCTTTTCCACAGACTTAACAAGAAAAAAACACTCACCAACAACCTCACTGTCGAGTGTAGGCTGCACAACCTCAGCCAGCGGGCCTGTGGTTCCCTCTGCTTAGGGGTCTCCACAGAGTTTCCCTGTGGCAACGTCCAGCAGAGGAGGAAGTGTCTGCCGCCTCCCTAGCTAACACAGCCTATGCCCTCTTTGCCATACTGGCAGTAGTTTACATAAATCTCATTTTCATAGATTCTGTGGAAGGCAACTTAAAAATTTTACTTTGTTCTAAAACCAAAAATTTTACCTATATTCTATCTACAGACCTCATTCTTTAGTTGACTCTACAACAGAATCCATATTTTGGTGCACAGTTCTGAGTCTTGACAGATGAGACATTATCAGCACCCACCAAAAAACTCAGTTTCACTTCTTTGTAGGAGCCCTCAACCAGCCGTGACCCTGGCAGTGACCCTGTGCTGCTCTTCCCCTCCGGCTGAAGAAGCTGTCTGGTAAAGGACAGTACTGACCCACCCTCACGTCAACAGACACTGAAGTTTTCTTCCACCTAGACCACCAGGCCACTCTCAAGTGAGCACTATCAGTACGAGACTCCAGATGGAAAACAAAACCCAGCAGCCTGTCACAGCCACACCTCAAGCCTTTTCATGTAGGAGGAAAAAATGGTCAGCATCAGGTTTATATCTAAGCAAACACAATTTCATGGGTGTCCATGTGATCATAATGCCTTGTATTACTTGCAGTAAAACAGAACAAAGGGGGCTGGGGTACTAAGTTCAGCGGCAGAGCCCTGGGCTCACTCCCTAACACCAGGGAGAAAGGAGGAAGGGGAGCTTAAAGATGTGACCATGGATTCCAAAGTGAGTCCTGACACGCCTTCCACGCCCAGCAGTGCTCACAGGACAGGAAGGAGAGTTCACCTTGGGCTCAACAATCTCACTGCAGGAAATGCTTCATGAGCAATAATTAATACACAAATGACCTGACTTAGCCAAGACCAAGCTACATACCGCCACGTCACCCCCTCACACACACAGAGAAAACCACGCAGGGTGGTGGGTGCGAGGAAGGGCCCCGGGGTCAGGGAGCCAGAAAGGCTCCTGGTGCATCTCAGGGCCTGGTGTGGGCTTACGGGGCTGGTGGGCTTGTCGGCCTCCTCGCTCTCGTCCTCAGAGTCGCTGGTGGAGTCCTGGGAGCTGGCGCCGGCAGGAGAGGCAGGTAACTGGGAGAGGAAAGTCTGGAGCACGTGCAGATACACCAGCAGGCCCTCCTCAGAGAGCACCCCTGGTGAAACAAGCACCACAGCTTTAGTTAGTGCCACCCACGGAAGGGAACAGGTATGACCTCCTCCTACCCGAGGAAGCATTTCAGCTTGAACTGAGTGTTTAAAATTCCAACTGTGCTTTGCTATGAAGTAGATTTGGTCCTTGTCCCAGAACAACCAAAACTCTTAGGTGTCCTGAAAGCAAAGAGGGTCCCTAGGGAATCCCGAGGATGCAGCCTGAACTCATGCTGATGAGGTGATGGGGGCGAGGGGGCCTCGACAGCCTGCCCTCCCACCCACAGGTACCAGGGAGCGTTCGAGGCGGTGTGCCCTCCTAAGTCCCTTGCCCAATGAGTCTCTGCTTCTGGCTGTCCATCTATGTCCTTTGTAACAGACTGGTAGCCATCAGAAATGCTGCCCTGAGTTCTGTGAGCTGCTTACAAATTATCAAACCTAAGGAGGGACTGAGGGAATCCAATTTTTGTGGGTTGTTCAGAAGATGGGTGACAACTACCATGTGCACAAAGTGTGTGAAGGCGGGCAGGCTGGCGGGTCTGAGTCCTCAAGCTGTGGGGGTCTGTCCCTACCTCCAGGGAGACAGGCCAGAACTGAAGTGATCACAGGCCACCCAGAGGCAGCTAGGGTGAGCGGGAAACCAGCTTCGTCTTCCCTAGGTCCCTCGGTTCTAACCGTGCACACATACAGGAGTTAACGCTCCCAGAGGCAAGCCTTCTGATTCCAGAATGGGCACACCAGAAAAACCCACGAGCCTCAGAGAACACAGGCCGGAAGAGCAGCCTTCCCTTTGTGCCTGGAGACCAGCCCAGGGACAAGGCAAAGCGCCCTGCTCAGGCCCCACCCAGGAAGCCATCTTTACCACGTGACACTTGCCACAGCGCAGCCTTCTCCCGGCTCATCTGCTCATGCTACCTACGTAGGAGTTCAGGTAAAATGTATCTTGTGTTTCATACCCAAGTAATTTTCGCCAACAGTTAAAACAAAATAGAAAAGCCACGGTGCTCCACGGCTCCTTTTTGAACATCTACTCTCTAGTAACAACAGTGCATTCAGAAAGGGCTCGTAAGGGAAAGCGGTCTGTACATCTGCTAAGGCCGGGATGATGAAGCGGAAAATCTGATCTGTAAAAGGTGCTGCCAGAAACTCCTCTGTGAAGGCTGAGAAAACTTGCTGCCTGAAAAGGAAAAGGAGAGCTTTGTGACACCAGAGCACGTTACTCACCAAGGGACAGTCAATTAACTGAACATTCCTCTAACAGACAGCTACTTCCTCGACCGATCCAGGTGACCAACCTGAAGTCAGCCTGATCCACAGCCTCCCTAGTCAGGTGACGGCCACATCCTGACAGTACCGGGAAGCTGAAAATAACCAGGCCACCAGAATTCCAGAATCCTGTGAGGCTGCAGGACGACACAGCACACTAGTGCTGTTCCCGTGAACTCAGCCACACTGATTCAAGTCTGTATGCACAGCAGCATCCCATAGAGACGCCTGACAGCCAGACGCCCCTCCACCACCCCCTCTCACCCACCTTGCACCTTCTGGGCAGGAGCTGTAGGTAAAGTGCAACGGTTTTAGGACATTCTCCAGCAAAATTTTTGCTATAGGAACTCGAGATAAATCAGAATATTCAATACTTGATGGAAGCTTGCTGTTGATCAACAAATAGAGAGACCTATAATACCCTAAAAGAAAGGAAAAAAACATTTAAAATCGAGTACTTTTTTTTTATATTGAGGAAAACTTTTATTAATCTATTTTTTGGACAGTACTAGGGGTGGAACCCAAGCCCTTGCACATGCTAGCCAAGTGCTCTACCACTGAGCCACATTATTTTGAGACAGTGTGTCACTAAGTTGCTGAGGCTGGCCTTAAACTCACAATTCTCCTACCTTAGCCTCCTGAGTGGCAGAGATTACAGGCATGCACCAATGCCCCACAACATTTCTCAACTTTTAAGTTCCTTTTATAAATCTCTACAAGTCCAAATTTAAGTAAATTCTTCTCTAACATTTCACTAAGGAAAACTTGAAACAAATATGGAAGTCATCCAAATGGCACGTAAGCCTCGGCACCCACCACTCGGTACCAACAGCGTCAATGCCAGCCATCTATACCCTTATGTCTCATTGCATCTGTATCCACTCATGTAGAGGCAAATCTAAGACAGGGTTATTTCAGTATATCCTCAAAAGCTAAGGACACTGTGTGAATGTGT